ATTTTCAATCATTCTTGGTCTTCTTACTAAGTTATAAGACTTCTTTATATAATTCTCATAAGTCCTTTTCCAAGCAAGTAATTTTTCAAAGATTTTTCTCCCACCTTGTGTATTTTCTCTGCATTGTATTGTATTGGGTCTCACTACACAGTTCAGCCTGACTTTCACCTGACTGTGTAGCCAAATTCATGACAATCCTTCTGACTCAGCCGCTTGAGAACTGGGATTGCAGGCATGCACCACCATGCCAGCTTCTCAGGTTTTTTGTTTTTGTTTTTGTTTTTGTTTTTTTTCAGAACCGGGGATTGAACTCAGGCGCTTGTGTTTTCTAGGGAAGCACTTAGTCCACTGAGCCATCTCCCGAGCCCAAAAAAGTACTTTTTTTTTTTTTTTTTCCAGAATCCGGGATTGAACTCAGGCCCTTGTGCTTGCCAGGGAAGCACTTATTCTACTGAGCCATCTCCCTGTCCCCTCTTCCCAGTGTTTTAAAGCATTAGATTTTTAAATTTTGGTGAAATCTAGTTTTATCAATCTCTTTCCTTTATAGGTTATGCTTTTGATGTGTTATTTAAGAGTCCATGCTTCATTCAAGATTATAAAGGGCTTTAGGTATAGCTCAGTTGTACAACACTTGCATGGTATGCACAAGACCCTGGGTTGTTGAATCCCCAGCACTAGGAAAAACAAAAACAAAAAAACTCTGGGGGCTAAGTGTATAGCTCAGAGACAGATGTGTGTTTAGCATCCCCAACAGCAAAAAGGGGAAAAAAAGTAAAAGGTCATGAAGTTTTTCTTTCTTTTTCTTATAAAAGTTCTGTTGCCTGATTTTAATTCTGAAAAAGTATTAGCTTGCTTAATAACCTACTAATGTTAAATTCATTTTTATACAAAACAAAGACGTCTCTACTGTCAACTTCTTTTGTGAGTCACTTGGAGCCCCGTTTTATATAAGCCTCTCTTTCCAAAGGTAGAAAAGGTAACTAGTTTGTCTCGGAAGATGACTTCCATTTTCTTCCTCCCCATGGTAGGTCCAGAAAATCCCTTTGATTCCAAATCTAAGATAAGAATATTATTTCCTTTTGACTGCTACATCTGCAGCTCAAAACAGCTGCCAATAGTTTATACATAAGCTATAATCTTCTGGTTTGTATTCAACTTGCAATAAGCAATGTTATAATCTTACTTTAGCTTTATTCTCATATCCCTCTGAATTTTTTACTAAAATGGGTACTAAGAAATAATTTTGTGACTGGCATCTTTTCTTTCAGGAGGCCTATCCAAATTATAAGCTCCATAAAAATCAAGGCCCATGTCCAATGCAGTTTTATTCTTCTCACTGTTCTTGGCATAGTGATGAGTAGTTAGTAAGTGCTCAGTAGTTATTTTTATTATAACTGTGTAATAAAGGCAAAGTGTTTTACATTTAGATTTAATTGTGACATAATGTGATTTGTATCCTACTGTTTTTCTAAATCATTAAATGAATAACCACTCAGTTCAGATTGTTCTGTGTCCTCAAATTGTTCCAGCATAAGCATTCTGGTCTTGAACTTTAGTATTTGATGTTTCACAAAACATTAACTAGCCAACACTAGAGTGTGAAGTAATCCCTCTAATTTGGCCTTTCTGCTTTAGAGATTTTGTTAGCCAAAAGACCTCAAAAATCCTTTTAATAATTCAGTCTCCCATCTTCCCATCCTCTATAGCAGTCCATACTTTAATAAGAAAAGTTTAAAAAAATCTTTAGCACGTATTGTATATGTGTTAAAATATATATATAATAAAAGTTTATTATATATAATAAAATTTATCACTTTAACTATTTAAGTGTACAATTCAGTGGCATGTATATTCACATTGTTGGAAATCCATCACCACCATTCATCCCCAGAACTCTGTTTGTCTTCCCACCTGAAACTCCTTAACCCCTAAACAAAATTCCCATTCCCTGTCTCCCCAGGCCCTATTCTACTGTTTGTTTGTTTGTTTGTTTGTTTGTTTGTTTTTAAGACAGAGTTTTGCTATATAACCCAGGCTGGCCTCAAACTCAAAGACAACCCTCCTGCCTCAGCCTCTTGAGTGCTGTAATTACAGGTGTGCACCACCATGCCCAGCTCCATTCTACTTCTTGTCTTTATGAATGTGCTCCCTCTAAAACTGCAGCCATATTGTTTTGGTTTCTGTACTTTTGTGGCTGGCTTCTTTCATCTGTGTAATGTCAAGGTTCATCCATTGTTGTAATTTGTATCAAAATATGTTTCCTTTCAAAAGCTGAATTGTGTCCTGTGTGTTATGTGTGTGTCACATTTCTTTGTCATTTCATCCACTGACAGACATTTGCATTGCTTTCACCTTACACGTCATTTGATGGAGGGGAAAGTAAAGTGATCTCGGTATATCTGTCCATAAGCAGTGGGATTGTAAAACCAATGCTTCTAGGCCATTGGTATTGGACTCTTTTTTGTCATTTTAACAGCAACATTTTTATTGCTTTGGAACAAGGCCCAAGAATCAGATAACTATTGCATAGCTGCTTCATTTGGGCATTTTAGAAATGTCAAAACAATGCTTTTTCCAAAGTAAAGACAGCCAGGGAGATAACTCAGTAGAATAAGTGCCTGCCTGGCAAGTGCAGGATCCTGAGTTCAATCCCCAGTACCACCAAAAAAAAAAAAACAAAAAAGGAAAGACAAATTTTCCAGGTGGTGGTGCATGCCTGTAATTCCACTTAGAAGGTTGAGGCAGGAGAATCACCACAAGTTCAAGGCCAGTCTGGACTGCATAGTGAATTTTTTTTTCATAATTTTATTGATAAACAAATAGCAATGAGACAGTTTCAAATCAAATCGCTAGGACAGTTTCAATAATTAACACACTGCATACATTCTTCTTAGTGGTTAATTGCTATACAAGATGTGGCCTTGAGATCCTATTTACAAACATCATTAGAACAAATCATTCCATTCATTAAGAGAATGTAACTATATATCTATCCTAACCACTTTGAATACACAGATACAAAATGGACATTCATCTGTATCCCCTTTTTTTGTTAAGTTCTGTTATTTGAATATTATAGGTGTGTAAACTCAGCAAAATATTCTAAAAGAGTCCAGTAGCCCATAATAGCATTGGGTCTTCTGTTTAACTGGCAATGTCAGAAATTGTTGATCTGAGTCCCCCACAGCTCAGCATAACAGCATGGCTTTACTTCCTATATTTCATCTTCATACTTTTCTACTGGATGGTTAAGACCAAGGTAAAGCAGGACCTATGCAACAAGAGTTGTAGCTTTTGGGTCTGATAAGGTCAGTAAAATCCCCTCAGGATTTATCCTGAGATCCTGTACCTCAGATTGTAGAACCTTTGTCAGTGTCAGCCATGTGGATGAGTCTCGGCTGCACAGTGAATTTCATTAACCTGATTGGAGATTCTACTGCTTTTCATTTCATTTTGTTGAGTTATGTGTGTTCATACTTTTGCACCTTTCTCTATGGTCATGATATTCATAGTAAAAAGGGATTTTAAGTTCTACAATTCTCAAGGGAAAAAAATTACACAAAGTTATATGACACAATCATACAAACTGTATTTTAGCTTTCTGTTTGGTGAAATGAGACAGTACAGTTGACCCACTTTGGAGCATACCAACAAAAAACTGTGGACTTGTCTGTACTGAAGTTTCCTCATCGCTGTGATCCTAACGTGGGTTCCCAGGCTTTGTAGTTTGGGGAAATGAAAATCAAAAGAGAAGCAGCAGTGCACTAAAGTGAAACTTATCAACATCTGCAGTCCATTAGGATCTGAGGCATCATGAAAGTGTCCAGGCCACTCTGCAGTGTTTTCACTCCTTAGGAACTTTTCACTTCCCTCGCAGCATGATGTGGGAGAAGTGGAGGACAGCAAACAGGACAACTCTTCCTCTCTGCAGAGGAACTCCCTGCTGCCCCAACTCATGTGAACACTTCCTTTGAGCGACCAAAGGAAATAGAATGCAGACAAGCAAATCTTTGGATACCTTTTGCAAATAATTTCTTTATTTACAGAATTTCATCTTTTAAAGTTAAGAGTAAAATTATTTGTTAATAGTTTTTAAACTAAGATAATGAACAGCCTGCCTGGTGCTTGGGTTGTGCTAAATGCTGAAACCCTTCCTTGGTGATTCTTTAGTTGGCTTAAGCTTCAAAAGTGTAACTGGCCTGTGAGCAGACTATTCAAATGACAGTCCCCATTCTGATATTACTTCTGAAGATGAATAACAAGTGGTTATAGCACTTAGAAGTGACATAATAATGTGACTAATTGGAAAACAGTCCAAAATATTTTCATGAAAGATACCCGGCCATGGGCAGGCCAAATAGCTCAGCAGACTAAACACCTGCTTAGGCAAGCACAGGGACCAGGGTTTGATTTCTGGCACCACATGCTGTGCCAGCCCCGCCCCCTGGGCATGCTGAGCTGGGCTCTGAGACCAGGCGTGGTGACTCATGCTTGTAATGCCAGCGCTGGGGAGGCTGAAAACAGGAGGATCACTATGAGTCTGAGCCGCAGAGTAAGAATATGTACCAAACACATTAAAAAAAAAAAAAAAAATCCTTAAAAGATACCCAGCCATTATTGCAGACCACTGTCTATCAGATTTTTACATGTGAGGGGAAAGCAATTAGCCAGTTTTTCTCAGATGAAACTCTTAGATTTTGACATTGATCATTTTATTCAGTCTCTGTACAGATTTTAGGGTTTTTGTTTGGGAGTTGTTGTTGTTTTTTATTTTGATGTTTTTGGAGAAAAGGTCCAGCTATGTAGTCCAGGCTGGCCTTGAACTCACATCAATATATAATCAAGCTTGAATTCATGATCCTCTTGATTTGGCCTTAAGTCCTGGGATTATAAATATGTACCACACCTGGCTTGTCCACTGAATCTCAATTGCAGAATTTTCAGCATTTTGAGCTAATTTGCTGCAGGTTCACCTTACCTTTCTGTTTCTCCTCTTTCAGGGTCTGACATTTCAGGAGGTGGAGAACTTCTTTACTTTTCTGAAGAATATTAATGATGTGGACACTGCATTGAGCTTTTACCATATGGCTGGGGCATCTCTTGATAAAGGTAATTAAACCCAGAAGTTTTTTTTCTTGAAGATTTAAACATTGAGTCTCTTAATTTGTTAAGTACTGCTTCTCCTTAACAGTAAATGTGTATTATCCTTGGCACTGTGTTTTGATTTATTTGTTGCATTATATGAACCTTGCACTTCACCTTGAGCTGCCAAGCTCAGCAAATAGGTTTCATTATGCTAAGGGCTGTAATCAGGGCAATGCGCATCTTTAAATGTTTGGTTTTGGAAACAGACATCTAAGCAGAGGCTCAGTGCATGAAACTGCACATTTCACTCATGTAAGCCAGAGCCAGGGCATAGATAATAAGAAGTAAAGTCATTCTGCAAGTGAATTTTATGCATTTGATGAGAAGGAATGATTTCATTTATTTCTTATAGTAAAGTTTTAAAAAAATACCATCATGACTCTAATAATAGGATCTCCTGTCAACTTCATATAAATTCAATTACAATTTATACAGGTAATATGAGAGAGGAGGATGAAAACACAGCTTTTTTCCTCAATATTTTATTTCAAACATTCAGAACAGTTGAAATAATTTTTTAAATAATATCAATGGCTCACCAGGCGTGCTGGTATACAACTGTAATCCCAGAACTCAGGAGGTTGAGGCAGGAATATTACTGCAAGTTTTTTGAGGATATATATTTTCACTTCTTTTACATAAATACCTAGGAGTGAACTTACAAAGTGAATTGAAGGGCAGCCTGAACTGCATAGTGAAACCCTGTCTCAAAAGGACAAAACAAAGGACTATCAGTGGCTGAGAGTGTAGCTCAGTGATGGAGCATTTGCCTGGTGCGTCCAACTGCCCCATGTTCAGGCCCAGCACTGAAAAAAATTTAAAAAAAAAAACCATATATCTGTGCATAGCTTTGTCTGGCTATTCTTCAGTCCTTGGATTTTTCATTTGGTTTTTATCTTTCCTTTGTGCAGTACTAAGTCTTGAGCCCAAGACTTTCACAATGAGCTACATCCCCAGCCAATTTTTATTCTTTATAAGAAATAATTCTGAGACAAGATCTGACTAAGTTGCTAAGTTATCCAAACCGGGATCCAATTTATAATCCTGCCTCAACCTACCACAGTGCCAGGGTTACAGGCTTTCTTCACCATTCCTGGATCCTCTTGTATTTCAGTGCATTCAAAGTACATTGCTGACATGAGTGTACTTCACTCCTAAATACTTCAGTGTGGAGATTACCTAAAGTTTGAAATTTGTTTAAAGATGCCTCTTGCAGGGCCGGGGAGATGGCTCAGTGGAATAAGCACTTCCCTGGCAAGCGCAAGGGCCTGAGTTTTTTTTCCCCAGTTCCGCAAAAAACTAAATAAATAAAATAAAGATGCCTCTTGCATTTTTCCAGTCAGTTACTGCCCCTACTGACAGAGAGACAAGCCACTAATCTGTATACTCTCCCACCAGAGGTTAGTTATTCTTGTTCTAGAACTTCATACAATGTACACATTTCTAAGGTTTTTTTCCATGTGTTTTTGAGATCCACCTATGTCACTTTGCATATCAGTAATTTAATTCCTTGGGCGCCCAGTAATAATCCATCCAATGACTATCCAGTTTACCCATTCTTCTATGGATACTGGCTATTTCCAGTTAATGTCCATCTTCAAAAAAGCTGCTTTGAATGTTCTTGTGCAAGTTTTTGAGGATATGTATTTTTACATCTTTTACATAAATACCTATGAGTGGAATTTCTGGATCCAAGAGATGATGATTATTTTGTTCATAAAATGTATGGATATCTAGAGCTGGGGATGTAGCTCAGTGGTAGAGCACTTGCCTAGCATAGTGAAGGCCCTGGCTTCAGTCCCCAGGACCTGGAACGAAAGAAAAACAGAGGGAGAGATGGGATAGTGATTAAAACAACATTGCCTATATCTATCAATTTGGGGAGAATTGACCTCTTAGTAATACTGAGCATCCCAATTCACAAGCCTATATTTCTTTATATTTTTATGTTTACAATTTCTTTCACCTTTTGTTTTGTACTCTGAAGCATACAAGTTTTACACATTTTTTTTTACTTTATGCCTAAATACTTTGAATTTTAATGTTACTATAAATAGAATTTTTTTCATTTCCACTTATTTGCTACTAAAGTGTAATTGTTGTATAAATTGATCTTGTATGCCACAATCTTGCTAAGTTAGTCTAGTCATTTTTTTGGATTCCTTAAGGTTTTCTGAAATGTAAACTGTTGTGTTAGCTTAAAACAGTTTCATCTTTTTTCATGATTTTTTTCTTGCCTTATTGCACTAGGACAGTATGGAGTAGAAGTAGTAAGAGGAGCCACCCTTGGCTTCTTCCTCATCTTCGGGGAGAAGCATTCCCCATCACAGCAGCAGGTTGAAGATTAGATTTTTCATAGATGCCCATTGTTAGATTATGGAAAGTGTTTTATGAATTTGCAAAGGGCTTTTTATGAGAGAGAGAGAGAGAGAAATACATAGCTTTTTACCTTTACTCATTTAATATGGTAAATTACAATAATTATTCCTTATAGCCCTGAGATAACCTCAGCATCAACTTCATCTGGTGTGTTAGGCTTTTGACAAAAGCTTGATTTGATTTACTAATGTTTTGTTATATATTGAGGGACGTTGGTCTATAATTTTCTTTTGTTGTAATGTCTTTCAGTTTTTTTATCAGAGTACACAGATCTCATAAAATGACCTAGGAAATTTTTCTCTTTGTTCAAGAAGACCTTGTGTATGATTACCTTTATCTCTTCCTGAATTATTTGATAGAATTCAGTAATGAAATTAGATGGGCCTGCAGTTTTCTTTGTGGAAAGTTTGATAATTTAATTTCTTTAATAAATGTATAGATATTCAGAGTTTGTGTTTTGTATGAATTTTTCAAGTTATATTTCTAAGCAATTTGCTCATTTCATCTGTTACTGAATTTATTGACATTAGGTTTTTCATAATATTTCATTATTATCCCTTTCTTTGTAGAACTGAAGTCTCATTTTTTTTACTCCTACCATTGATAAATTATATCTCTCATTTTTTATTTTAGTCTGTCTTGGGGGTTGGCAATTTTATTACTCTTTTCAGTTTTCTCTATGATCTGTTATCTCTTGATTTCTGTTCATATCTTTGTTATTTACCTTCTACTTATTTTCAGTATATATTACTTTGCATTTCTCTGCTAGCTTTTTAAAATGGGACAGGATCCTGGCTTTTCTTTTTCTTTTTTTTTTTTTTTTTTTTTTTTTTTTTTTTGTGTGTGTGTGTGTGTGTGTGTGTGGCCAGCTCCGCCCACCAGGGGGCGGGGCTGGCTGGCATGTGGTGCTGGGGATTGAAACGCAGTCCCTGTGCTTTGCTAAACTTGTTCTAAGTAGGTGCTTTAGACCACTGAGCCATCTCACCAGCACCGATCCTGGCTTTTCTAAGATAAACTTTTGAAACTATAAATTTTCCTCTGCTTTATCTACATCCCACAAATTGAGGTGTATTTTCATCCTGCTTAAAGTATTTTCTGATTTTCCTCCTGATTTCTCTTGTGGATTTCTAGATTATGTAGGAGAATGTTAACTTTCAAATATTTTATTTTTTTCTAGATATATTCTTGGTGGGGTCTTATTTCAGGTTGTTGTTGCTACTGCTACTGCTGCTGCTGTTGTTTGGAAGTGCTGGGGATTCAACCTAAAGTCTTGTGCGTGTTAAACAAGTACTGTACCAGTAAGCTATGTACCCAGCCTTTTATTTTACTTTAGGACAGTCTCACTCAGTTTCCCAGTTTGGTCTCAAACTTGTGATCCTCTTGCTTCAGCTTTCCAGGGAGCTGGGGTTGCAGGTCATATGTCATACCCAGTTTCTGTTTTTTGTTTGTTTGTTTTTTTCTAATTTAATTCCATTGCCAGAGAACACATTCTGTAAAATCTCATTTCTTCAAAGTTAATTAAGGGGCTGGTGAGATGGCTCAGTGGTCTAAAGCACCTACTTAGAACAAGCTAAGCTAAGCAAGGCACAGGGACCGCGGTTCAATCCCCCAGCACCACATGCCAGTCAGCCCCGCCCCCTGGTGGGCTGAGCTGGCCACCCACACAAAATAAAATAAATAAATAAATAAATAAATATAAACAAAGTTAATTAAGCTGGGTGTGGTGGCATACACCTGTACTTCCGGCACTTGGGAGGCTGAGACAGAAGACTGCAGTGAGTTACAGGCCAGCTGGAGTTAACATGGCGAGTTCAAGACACCCTGAACTACATAGTGAGACCCTGTGCCCAGAAAAACTTCACTGAGACTTTTTTATGGCTGAGTGTATAGTCAGCTTACTTGTATTTGAAAACAATGTGTATTCTAATGCTATAAAAATGTCCGGTTAGGTCAAGTGATTGATATTGTTTCCAGATATCTTCAGTGTCTGTATACTATCTTCCATCAAACTAATAAATGTTAGGCAGATATCTTCAGTGACTTTTTTGTTGGGTTGTTATTATCAGTGGAAGAATAATATTAAGATCTCCAAGTAAAATGTATGGACTTTTCTGTTTTTCCCCCTTAAATGATATCTGTCTTTATTAATTTTTACCTCTGGTGTTAGGTACATGCATACTTGCGATTATAATGCTCTCCTGATTTGGCTCCCTTTGTGTAATACACCTGGTGAAATCTGTTTTGGGAATATTAATATAATTACCTTTCTGTGCCAGTATTTGCCTGGTATAAGTTTGGAAAAATTTGTTTATGTTCAGCCTGTCTTTAAAATGTATCACTCCTGGGCATACTGTTTTTAATATTTTAGTAATTTCCCTAGAAATAAAATTAACTTTTTATGGCTTGCTTAGAGTTAATATTGATTGTGAGGGCAGGCCAGATAGCTCAGCGGATTAAAGCACCTGCTTATTTGTATTTATGTGATTGTGCCACTGCAAGTGAAATGTAAGAATCTTGCAATTTTACAGTTATGTTTAGCATCAGCTCATTTTGTATGCTATAGTTGTCATTTATATTTTATTTAT